AAAAAACATTGTCGATAGATTCCTTCGAAACTGGGTGTTTCAGTCCGTCTCTCAATCCTCTATCGAATTCACGTGTGAATTTCGAAGAGCAGCGCCTCGGAACCATTTTGGTACCCCAGGGTAAGGTCAGGTCTTTTTTCATAAAAAAAATCAAATTTTCGACTTTCATCTCGAAATTAACTGACTCATTATGCTTGGATTTCTTTCAAATCTTGCAGGGTGTTAAGTTTCCATGAGTTCTACAAGAATATGTAAAGGTTTCGGAAGAGCGGTTGAAATGACGAAATTTGGTCTCGAAAATGAATGGATTTTTGAAAAAAATGAAAAAAAGGTCCATTTTTCCCACTTTGACTTTTCTTAATAATTTCCATTTGATTTCTTTATAAATTCGTATTATAATCAAGTCGAGTATGTACTATATAATTCCGGGCAGTTTTTCACTCAAAAAGAGATTGTTAGATTCAGACCGGAAGTGGTTTCGAGCTTTTGAATCGAAAAACGCATAATTTCACTTCCTCTTCGACAACTCTGTACGAAACACGTTTTAAAAACAAAAACTGCATGGATTCGTGATGTAGATGTATTAAAGACAATACCGAATTTCAAAAAAAAATCCGCTCGTATTCTCCTTTTTTATTCCACTCCGGACAGAAGAAGTGTTTCGAATTCGTTTTTTACTGTGGGAATCGCTTCTGTAGGTGGATAACATCATTTTCCAAAAGTTTGGTGGCAATCGGGCCGTTAGTTCTGCACCGCACCTCGCGACTTCCACACCGCGCTGCTGTGGAGGCGGCAACCGGGCTTTTTTCCGTAGCGGGAGCTACCCCTTCCTCTCCGGAACTCAGGAGACCCGTTTCCCGTCCCGTTCCCGCTCGAAAAGACCCTTTTCCTGGAAAAAACGACGAAAAGTAATTTTTTTTTTAAAATTCCAAAACTGGAAAAAAATTAGTTCTCCCAATTTCGAGTGCGACATTCCGACGGATAAAGGGCGTGGGATTGTTTCCCGAAGGTTTCGCGGAAGTTCCAGCACGTTCCGGGTGTCGCGGACGACTTTTCCCGTTTCCGGGAAAAATCGGTTTCGCTTTAAAAAGAGTGAAAAAAAAAAAGGTTTTTTGGATTTTCCGCTATTTTTTATCGAAGAGCATCACGAGAGAGCGGAAAATTAAAAAAAAAAAAAAATTTATAAAGAAAAGCGGAATTTAGTAGTTTTCGTCGAAAAACATTAAAAAAAGGTGAAAACTGGAAAAAACGATCTATTTTTTTTTCGAAACAGTAGTGATTGCGAGTTTTTATGCAAAAACATAAAAAAGGAGAAGAAAAGCAGTTTTTATGGAAAAACGTTAAAAAAAATTGAAAAATAAAAAAACGAGGGAAAAAGTGATAAAAAATGATAAAAGGGCCACTCCCCACCGTCCGAGAGCCAAAGCGAATCTCGGATATCGAAAATAAAAAAAAAATAAAAAATGTCAAAAAATGGAAAAATCGGGAAAATCGGGAAAAAATCCCGAGCCTCGTCCATTCCCGGGGTCCGGAACGCAGGGGGGGGGAGCTTTTTTTTCCCGAAAAATAAAAATTTCCAAAAAAGGGAAAAAAAACATCAAAGTCCCCGAAATGGGGTGCCCATCGATGCGAAAATAAGCCTAAGTCCCGCAAAGGGCGAAATTTTTTGAAAGTCTGAAGAGTGGCGAAAAAGTTTCAAAACCCCGAAAATTTTCTTAGTCCTCACATCTTATGTGCCTTCAGAACTTATGTGCGCCTTCAGATCTTATGTGCTTTCAAATCTTATGTGCCATCGGAATTTTTTCTAAGTCCGAAATAATTTCTAAGTCCTTACATCTCTTTGGACTTTGCCAAAAAAAGATCGAAAATGAACCGGAAGTAGGCTTAGCGAGATGCCGTCCAAAGTGCAATGTCACCTTACGCCGATGCAAATTTACCACTCGACGCGGTAGGCTTAACCGCCTGAAACATGCCGCAGTCACCGTCGAGGGGGGGGGTTTGTCAGTCCCCTTTCGCAACTCCATTTCCCTATACAGGGAGCACCTCTCTCTCGAGTGGTCCAGAGCGCGATTTCGTGTTTTGTGATCTAACGTGGAGTGGAGGGTGTGCGTCGTGAGTGGGATCGCTCTGAACCCTTTTAGGGTTTTTTTTATTTTGGCTTTTTTGAGCGATTTAGACGCACTTTGGTTCCCGGCAGGCGGGACGCGGAGATTCGTCTCCGGGTCGGTCCAGGACCACTCGGTCGACCGAAGGGGCTCTCGGACGGTGGCCTCGGGCGCTCCCCATCCAAGGGGGAATGTCGCTGCGGTCGTCTGAAGACAGTGGGTTGGCCGGCGGCCATTAAAGCACCTGCCGAAGACGACCGGGGCCGTTTCCAGTGCACACGTGGTTCAAAGAAGGCGGGTCGGTCTGTGACCGTAAAACGAACCTGCCCAGGATCGCGCGGCTCTTCCGGCCGCGTCTTTTCCCCCCTCGGGGGTTTTCGGTCCCCAGACGGCGGGTCGCTCCTTAACGGACGTAAAGAAACCTGCCTAGGACAACGCGGCTCGGTCCGCGTCGAGTCCCCGTTCGCGGGGGCTCGCTTTTCTCTCCGTCCAGCGGGTCGGCGTGGATGCACGCCGTTAAAGGAACCCGTCTGTCGATGGTGCAGACTCGTCCGCGTCGGGTACTCGTTCGCGGGGGCTCTTTCCATCCCGTCTCTGCCCTGGCGGCCGCCGCCGCGATCCGAGGGTCGGACGCGCCGTGCGTGTCGATGTTTCGAATCGTTTAGAAGGGGTGGGTCGTTCACCGACCCCCATCTCGATACATCATTAAAGACGTCCCCTTCGGGGGACGCTCTCTGTCGTACTGCGGAAAGTCAATAGCAAATGATGAAACACGGACCTTATTGAGAGAGGGAAGCGGTACCTCTTAAAAAATTCCGTCCAAAAATGAGAACTGAGGCGTTGCCTCGCAGGAAAGATAGCGAAGATAACTAGTTTATCCTGCCAGTAGTGATATGCACGTGTAAGTACAAGCGATACCAGAAAGTGAAACCGCAAATGGATCATTAAATCAGTTACGGTCCCCTTGGCGGTTGAGATTACTTGGATAACTGTGGTAATCCAAGAGCTAATACACGCCCGGGAGCTCCGATCCCGCGAGGGAGATGAGTGCTTTTATTAGACCAAGACCAGCCCGCGTTCGCGCGGCAGCGACTGGTGACTCTGTATAACCTAGGGCGGATCGCACGGGCTCGTCCAGGCGACGCGTCTATTGTGTGTCTGCCTTGTCAACTGTCGAGGGTAGGTCATGCGCCTACCATGGTCGTGACGGGGAATCAGGGTTCGATTCCCGAGAGGGAGCCTGAGAAACGGCTACCACATCCAAGGAAGGCAGCAGGCATGCAAATTACCCACTCCCGGCCCGGGGAGGCAGTGACGAAAAATAGCGATACGGGACTCTTTCGAGACCCCAAGATCGCAAGGTAAAGAGTGTTCGAAAGGAACGATTGGAGGGCAAGTCTGGTGTCAGCAGCTGCAATAACTCCAGCTCCGATAGCGTAAGCTAAATTTGTTGCGAATGAAAAGCTCGTAGTCGGATCTCAACCCGAGACGGTGGGGTGCGTCAGCGCCCTTTCCGGTCTCTCGGGCTCTGGCTGTTTTCCGAACCACGATCTTAACCGGTCGTGGTGCGGGGTCCGGTCAGTTTACCTTGCAGAAACTGAAGTGCTCAAAGCAGGCCTGTCGCCCGCACAAGGATGCA